GGTGGTGGCAGTGTAATGATGTGGTTCTTGGCACAAAGTTTGCCCCTGATACCAATCAAGCATCATGTAGCTGCCATAGTCTCTCTGAGTATTTTGCTGACCATGTGCATCCCTTTAAGCCTTATTTTATCCATCCTTTAATGGCTGATTCCAGTGTGATGATGCATCATGTCAGAAAGTTAAAGTTTTCTCCTACTGGTTCCAAATGAGGTCAGTGTACTTCAGTCACCAGATCTAAATCCAGTTCACAGGAGATCCAGAGTGTGAACATGCTGGCAAGTCAATATGGATCTGATATTGGTTAGGAATCTTTCCAGAATGTTTAGACTGTGCCAGCAAGAATCCATGCTGTTCTGAAAGCATCAGATCTTTCATTCGCACTAGAAAGTAACAGGACACTAAAGGCCTGAAAAAAGCATGAAATAAACATCTAAGTTTGGTCAGAAGAGGCTATCACTTGTAAGTAAATATATAAATAATTATTTATATTTAGGTCTCGTTTATATAGATTGCGGGGAAATATTATGCATATTTTGAAAAATGAATCGATTCCGGCTTTAAAAATGACAGTTGACAAAAATGGCACTTTGATGAGGGTCAGAACGCTACACGCCTCATGCAGATTCTCATGTTCCCAACTTGTTCATCTTAAAGGACGTGATTAGCAGAAAAAGTAAAAGCAGCTGGCAAGTAACATACCTCCACTAAACTGGATTATATCCACTGCTACATGACAATCCTCTTTTCGCAGTCAATATTATAGATTTTCTATTAGAGATTTACATAGGAGCTTGGAATATTGAAGGTAGTTCTGTGCAGAACATTAAAATTAAATCAAATGCCTTGACAATTGAATATTATGCAGTCAGATGACACACAATGCAGTCTTAAACCACATCCCTTAGTAATCCCCTTCCAACCACACTCCAATTTATTTTCACACTGTATTTAAATACCAAGGTCAGGATTTTGCAGGATGGTTGAATTTTTAAACATTTTGCTTCTTTTATTTATAGAGTAAATTCAAGTTTTAAGTCCTGCAGCCTTGTGATCTTGCAAAATACCTGGATTTCTGTACATAGCTTTTTACCTTATATCTTTTTAAAATTATTTTTTATCCCCCCCCCCTCCTTTTTTTCATTTATATCTTTTGGATTGTCATTCATCAATTATGCAATAGTGCTGCTTGTTTGAACAGGCCAATACAGAGACTTTGTAATAAAATTAGAGTCAATCAGTTATTGTACAACAGACTTTGAGGTCAGTATTCTTAGGCATGGGAAACTATTGCTACATCCTCTCTTCTGATGACTAATAATCAGAGTGCATTCTGGGGTGGGATCTCCCTCCATGAATGAAAATACAACTGACAGCAATACCGCAGCATATCTCTCAAAGTGAGTGTGCAGATAATGGTGGATTTATAACACATTTCTGTGATTCCTTGAGTCCTCAGTTCAAAGTGAATTCAAAAGAATTAACAGTTAACACAATGCGTTACATCACAATGCAGTGCACACCATTACAATGTACAGTTCTTATTAGACATTCACACAAATGGATTTTATTCATTGCAACAGTAATTAAAAAATTATGGTGTTTCCTTAGCGACATGGTGGTGCAGTGGATAGCACTTTTGCGTTACACAACTAGGATCAGGATTCTAGTCCCCACAATGGCTCCATGGGATTTTTCATGTCCTCCCCATGTCACTGTGGGGCTTCCTTCAGGTACTCTGATTTCCCCCCACAGTCCAAAAACATGCTGAGATTAATTGGAATTACCAAATTGTCCATACTGTAGGTGTGCTTGTGTGAGTTAGCCTTGTGATGGGTTGGTGCCCCGTCCTGGGTTGTTCCCTGCCTTGTATCCATAGTCTCCGCGATAGGGACTGGACCCGCTGTGACCCTGAACAGGACAAGTGGTTACCGAAAATGGATGTCCTGTTTTACAGTAAATTTTAGCAGGAGAAAAAAACACAAATTTAAATACCAATGACTTCTTCATATGTGCTTAAATTTTAAAAGGCAAAAAACTGACAGCAAACTGAATGTAAAAAATGTCATTGATTGACATTCAGCATTTGACTCTGCTTTGTATGAAATACTTTTGTATAATGTGATTTGGATAGTTACGGTTTATATTTGGATGTGGACTTGATCTTAGTTTGGGTTCTAAGTGTGGGTGTAGTCAGATATCTGACATGTATTTTTGACACCATTCCAAATTCAGAGACTTCTAGTACTCCAGTTATTTTTAAAAATGCATATTAGAAGACAAATTCCTAATGGCATAATTGGGTATTCCTGCCATCCTGACAAGGGTAAATGGTTAAAAGATGGTTGAATGGTTAGAATGATGGATGGATTGATAACTGTGAAAGTTTAAAAATAAATGATTAATGACTATGAATAGTTAGGCTATGAGGCATTAACTGCAGCCTATCCATTACTATAAAAATAATGGTTATTAAACATTTACCTATAAGAGGTAAAGTGCGATTTTGATATTTTCATAAATCATAAGGGTTGAATTTACATGTGGTACATCATGTGGGGATGGAGCTCACAGGAGTATTTTCTTAAACTCTTCTTTTGCTGAAAAGTTTTCTAAGAGTGCATTAAAGTAGAATGTTCACTAGAGACTTATTAGAGATTTCAGAGCTGAGTTCTCACCAGTTTGTCCAATGGGATCCTATAGCTAATACATATTTTTCTATTGAATTATCTTTAAGTGAACCCATTGTATTCTACGGGATAATCTCTGACCCTTCCCGTCAGGTCTGTCCTATGGACTTTGAAGCATTTTTGCATCTTAATTATACCCCTCATCACACAGAACTAAATAATAAACACTGTGCATCATAGGCATATTGCATGTGAGAAACAGGACCTAAACCAACTAATATTGCGCATTTACAATTTAAAAATTAAATGAAAGTACCTGTAACACTGATGAATAATATCATTATATGCCTTCTAATAATGAAAATGCAGCCAATTTGTAAAATAATAATAATAAAAAAACTTTGGATTGGTAATGCCAATATCAAGCACGAGTCCATTGAGCCACACCCAGTCAATTTCCCCCATGTTCTAGATACACCTGTAACTAATCAACCGAATAAATTGGCTTTAACAGCTAACATGGTAAAGCCATTTTAACACCATTCAAAGTGAACAGGGTAGAATAAATGAACTAATGACCATAAAACTAAATGAGACATACATGGCAGATAAAATGTGGTTTCAGGAATGGACTATGGGGGACAATGCCCACGTCTTGATTTTCAGATTATGTATGGAACCATTTTGAGAGTTTGGGAAACCCTATTTGTTATGCACTGTCAGCTAATGACCCGAATTCTTCTCTTTGACTGGTCTAAAGCACTGTTTGAGATCCGTGATCCTGCAACCTTACCTGCTCCAGAGCAGTTTTGTTCTGTAGCATGAGTTACCATGGTGATGTATCCCTCTAAAAAAGACAACCATCGTGATATCAAAAAGCCATGTATCACTACTCATCCTCAAAGTTATCTGGCTAAGCAAGGAATCCATCTTTGTGATACAGGCCTCGGGTCTCTGCATAACTTGTGATTGCCTTCCTGGTTTTCATCCTGTGATTTGGATTCGGTTATTGGCTCAGAACTCCCTGCCTTTCTGCCTGTGTTTGGACTACGGATTTGGATCACAATTTGGATATATCTTGCCTTTGTTTGCCTCTGTCCGGCAACAACACTGCATCAACACTTTTGCCTGCTGTTGGAATATGATTCTAGAATTAAACTCATGGTTCCTGTACCTGAATCCCCTCTCTGTTCCAGTCATTACAGGATGTCTGTATTTACACTGAGATCTCTGTCAGCATTTTTACTGTTGTTTCTGTAACACAGAGACACGTTTTCTCACAGCAGTCCATAAATGGGGTAGCTGGCCCCTTACCCTTGGGGGGGCATCCCATCATACTATCACAGTTTTGCCTTTTATCTCCAGCCCATTTATGGGAACCCATTCTTTTTTTTTTTAATGATCCTCCTATACTCCATCATAAGACAAGGGGCTGTCCAAATATTTGCACTGGGAGCAAGCAAAATCTATTGTCTGGAAAAGAATACCTAACCTTATTAATCAACTTTGCCCCCCAGTACAGAGGAGAAGCTGATTAATAGGGGTAGGGATGGGTGAAGCGCATGAGGCACGAGCAGTTGTGCTCCTGCTCACGGGAGGCACTGGGAAATCTGTGATACGTAGAGTAGGAATGGCTTTGCAGTGCTACTCCACTAACTCCTGTGTGCTTTCTCCTACAACCTTTTAATCAATAGAAAATATTACACAGCATTTGGTGTGTGTGTGGGGTGGGGGGGTGCATGTATACAGTATGTACATTGTGGGGACCAAATGTCCCCATAACGTGATGAAAACCAGTTATTTTGACCTTGTGGGGACATTTTCATTCAAATCTGTGAATTCAATCAAAAAACTGAAAATGCCAAAAGTCTTGAATATTGTTTGGTTAGTTATGGTTAAGGTTAGGGTTGGGTAGGGGTTAGAGCTGGACGGTCAAATGGACAGTCCCTACAAAGATATGAGTACAGGTCTGTGTGTGTGTGTGTGTGTGTGTGTGTGTGAGCGAGAGAGAGATGCTTTGAAAAATATGAAAAATAGGATATAAAGCTCAAACAGTGGAAATTGTAATCCTGTTACTTATCACACAAAAATTATTTAGGCTACGCACGTCCCCTGTGGAGCAACGTCTGACTCTGTGAGTTAAGACATCATCAGAAGGTTGTTGGTTCCGTTCCTGCAGCTGGCCGAATGAGTATACTTCAGTTGGGCCCTAGTGCAAGACCCTTAACCTTGAAAACTGCTACAGGCGTGCTGATAAGCAGTTTAGCCTGTGCTGTGACCTCAAACTTTACTATCAACCAATATATGTATGTTTCATAAGAGAGCAGGTTGGGATATGAGAAAGCTAAAGAACTTCTTTATATCTATATTTAGTAAGTAAAGAATTATTTTATTAATTTAGCAGCATGGGCCTGGCAATCAATAGAAGTAAAGCACAAGCAGTACATTGTGTTCTCCTAAAGTTCAATATGTTAAGAGGCCAGATATGTGCAATGGCAAATGAAGGGTCATCATTGGAATCCTCTTCAGGATTGAAAAATGGGTGGATGGACAGAGTTTCATAGATAATGGCCTCACCATAATACAATACTAAATTATAGCATGTAAATGTATAAATATTAAATTACAAATCAGAGCACATGATTGAATGATACCAAGAGGAAAATCAAGGCGGCATTTTCCTAATGTGGCAGATGGCCACACTGAACATATTCTGCTGTGAAAACACTGATATTAACAGACACTGATCCTCCTCCAATTTCAGAGACCTTTTTTTTTTTGATGCTGTAGTCATTCATTTGACTTGTTGGACTTTTGGCACCGCGGGTGCCAATGTGCACTTGATGTGAAGGGAGTGAGCAGTATGTTTGTGAGGATGCCAGTATCTCAGAGGACAACAGGGTCACACTGGGTCCTGGTGGAGGCCTGTGTGTCGACGGTCATATGGCAAAGGCTGCGGTTTTATCGCCGTGTCTTCTGCTCCAGGAGATAGTGTGGGCGGCGTCGTGGCAAGCCAAGTGCTTGGCTTGAGCTGGAAGGCAGACGGGCACATTTCCATTTTCAGTAAACGGTTCAAAGCCACTGCTCCGAGATGCGATACAGGAGTTTAACAGTAGGGCGGGCATCACCATGGTGTGAAAATTTAACCTTGTCTGTTACATCTTATAAAAGACTCACTGGGGTCCTCAATAGAAAACAAGACATTTCATGTTGCATTTAATATTTACAGCTTACGTGTTAAGAATCACTACAGATGCTAACAAATCTGCCAATGGTGGGTATGATGACTGTCCCTTAGACCTTGTACTGACCCAGAAGTACGAGAAACAGGAGCGATGTAATAACAGCAGTGACCTGCCATGACGGATTTCAGGGGATTTGTGTACCTCTGCGGTATTGGGCTCTGTGCCTGGGTTCCCGGTTCAAATCCATGGTTAGCAGAATAATCACATCATTGTTAGGACTTTGAGCAAATCCCTTAACCCTAAAAAATGCTCCAGGGAGGGGTGGATAAATGGCTGGCCCTACACTTTGACCCCAAGATTTGTACTTGCCTGCATATATATGTTTCCTAGGAGAGCAAGATATGCGAACCACAGCAACTGAGTAAACAAGCAGCAATACGACGTAATGAGAGAGAATGGGAGAGATCCAAGTACAAAGTAAGCAGTTTTAATGACTCGCACCAAGCAATATAATCTGAAAATTAGTGTCAAATCACTGAATTCTTTAGCAATAATTCCATGGTAATGCAAATCCCAGGTCCAAATCACATTCAGAAAACAAGTTAGGAGAAACACTGGCATGCTATCAGAAACACAAGGCTTTAGCTCAATAAGGAGCTCATAAGAAACTTTCTTCAGAAAAGTTCTGCCTTATTAAAAAAAATAAGATGCTCGCTTTACCTAAATTCTTTTAATATATGGTAATGAAGTAATGTGTAGTTAAATTAAATATTTTTTACATTTAATTAGATTATTATTTACTTTTATATGTGGAATATCTTTTTGTAATTGACTTGTAAAGCACTATACTGAAAGGTGAATTCTAGTTAACCTGCTAGTCATCAGACTGAAAATGTCAAATGTTTTATTTTGTCAATCATAACACCATCAGAGATTGAGGTGAATCTAATCCTGACCTTCGCAGCCCAAGCTGTTTGAACCATTCAAGCAAATGTTATGTTATTATATGATCCGCACCCACATGCTAAAAGTCAACTAAGTATTGAACTGATTATGAATTGCAAATATGCACATTAGAATTCAGCAACATCTGTTCCTACTTCGTTGAATATATTGACCAATAAGCATGTAGGTCTATAGTGGTAATTAATGAAAATGCAAAAGATCAAGTCAATGATTGTCACGAGGATAAAATATGAATAAAGTAAAAATTTAAATATAATGTCACTGTGATAAATACATGGATGATGGGATGGATGGATATCCACAGAATCTATTATGTATGTCGGTTGTTTATCCACTGAAGAAGACATTTGGTGGGGCACCAAAATAGTTTTAGCTAGCCATAAATCTAAGGCATGAATGAACAACTTGGGACCACTTGAGTAATATGTTCCTTTCTGCTCTACACTGAAAAGTGCTCCTAGTTAGAAAGAGCTGTGGTACTAAACTTTGGGGTGAAAAATAAATAAAATTTAGCTTTGGATTGGAAGGCGCATCAAATATGCTTATATCATGCACAAAAGAGGGATTATATGTTGACACATGGCTGTTCTACGATCTGGTCTAATCTCAGCACCCAACCTCCTATTGTTAAAAACTGGCTGCCCCATGGTTGCAACGTCAGAGGGAGCCAGATGCTTTTGTGGCATGAAACGTCTTAGTTCAGAGCGGCGGCACATTCTGTACTAGCCGCCCCAGCAAATCGTACTAGAGGATCATTGGGCCATAGGCTGAGACAGGTGGTGAGGGGGAGAGATGGCATGCACGGTGTTACCACGGCAACAACGTCACCACGATTTCGCTGCCTTATTTCTGTCTCCAGAAACGGCACAAATTAGTTTTTGATTCTTAGAATATCAAAAGTGGTTTTCAGGAACTTGGGATATTCTGTGTGGGGGTGGAGGTTGCCCCCCTCCATAGAAAATGTTGAGGTTTCAGGATGCTTGGATGGGTCAGGTCAGGTCAAGTTGGGGGGCATGCACTGGTGCCGCACGTCACCGCATGAGGAAACACCTCGGGATCCTGGTTGGCGGTCCTCTCGGCCGACGCGCGATCCAGCCCCTACGGAAATGCCCGTCTATATGCCGTAGGCAGGTGTTACGTGGGCGTGTTTATTGAATAATTAGAAACTGTTTAAAGAAACATAAATTAGCCTTAGTAAATAAACTTCTAGCTTTAGTAACTTAACCTAAATGGGTAATATGAGAAATATTATATATCTGCTTGTCCAGTACATGGTTACGGGCAGAACTTAGCTTCCTTACCTTGTTTGTCTAAAGGTGATCCCAGATCTGGTCAAAGAAGAAGTTCCATAAGCAGGTAATGGGTTGTTCCCTTGGTCTCCTAAAAACCGTCAAGGGGATTTTATTCTTATTTTGTGTATGAACCACACCAGCTAGCTCTTCTCTCTATGGATTGCAGCCATTATTCTCTGAGACCTGCTGGACAGCTAAAGTCCACAGAAACAGCCCCGGTTCCATCCATTGAAAACTTTTTCGTTTATTTTTAGTCTCTTCCAAAAGCTGACGTCCACCGGTAAGGATGTGTACTGGTTGACCTGTAAATCAGTAGCCTTACTGTTGAACTGCACTTGCACTTTTTAATAACGGTAACTGTACCATTCCATCTCCCCTTCACCCCAAAGATACTTGGAAGTTCTTCAGCAAGAGCATTCTGTCCCCTTTCACCATCACTCTACTGTGTTCCTTAGCCTCAACCTCGGGAGTGCCAATTTTTATCCTCTTCACTTCACTCGGCAGAGAAATATTCAAGTGTTTGCCAGAGATCGCACTCTAAGTAAGAAAGAAGTACGAGAGCCTTTGCAAAGAGAAGGGAGAACAATTCGTCCCTCCTATGACGTTATATGTCTTTAATTTTTTTTCCTCAGCTACTCTGCTGATATGATGCATGGCGTCACTGCGCTGGCGCTGAAGTGCTTATCAGGCCAACACAGAAAATGCAGCAGTGGCAGAAAGTTTCAAACCTTCTGGGTGTGTAGATACTTCAGCAACTTCATTATCAGTTTTCGGGGGAAAAAATAAGCGTGCATGGTGTGATTGATAAGTTGTTTTGCCACAACAATGACAGATTATTGTGAAATTATGTCAGCGAACACAATGTATTGGAGTATATTTGGGGAATAATTACTGTTGAATCTCTATTCACTGTTATCTGAGGACTTCGTCACACCCTCTAACTTTTGGCAAAAGGATTTGTTTCTATTTTTGTTTATCAAAGCATATAATTTATTTCCATAAAAAAAATTAAAACCTTGGTTGGTGGGTGCATACTGTAGGTAGGCAGGCCGTTTAAACAGGGTAATTATTAATTCTTGTCTTAAATAAACATTATAAAAATGTTTTATATAACCATATTTGCAAATATCTCTAAAACCTCTTTGAAATCTTGGGAAAAAACTTTTTTTGTACAGCCGTTTATTTGCAGTATTTCAGGGCCTTAATACATTTGGTTGTAACTTTGCGTACTAATATTAAAATTTTAATTCTACTCTTGGTATACTCGTTTTTTTATACTTCTCAATAGGAAAAACCATACTGATGGTATATATACCTCAAAACAATATAAATAAAAATGAAGCATAAAATTTATTTGACAGTAAAAAGAATATTAGTAATTTGCCTCTGCTGTTAAAGGAAATTGCTCTTTTTTGGAATAAGGTGGTACTCTGAGATGAAATTGGTGTTTGTTTTGCTCTTGACAACATTATCTTTGAACTCCTGACCCAAAACACTTCTCCCAGATGCATGCACAGGTTGTCAGGACTACCCAGTATTAAGTGAATTCTACTAACGTTGGACTGGTATGGAGAATTTTAAAGGAAAGGGGAAGAATTTAAAACTTCGTGTTAGAATTTTTCAGAAAAGGATAAAAAATATGTACTTTTCTGCCATGTACACCAGTGTGTCAAAACACTGCTTCTGCTGCAAGGTTTCTTAGCTGAATTAAGAGATAATTAATTTTCCAGAACTAATCTTGTATATCAACATTTAGTCACTGAGAAATGAGACCTAATTGTTTTAGTAGATTATATAGAGGATCTGGGAGGAAGTGTGGAGGAGTAACAGGTATTTATATCTGGATGTTAGTGAGCTTGTAGAATTTATTCTAGTAATATAGTGTATGTTCAATTTGCTTCATATGTTTCTGTTCTGTGTACCATGACATTGGAAGCAATGCAGTAGTGGTTCAGGTCACTGAACACTGTGGTTCAGGTCACTGAACACCGTAGAAAACTTGCATATTTGTAGAGCAGACAGAAAAGCAGTTCCCTCCACTGAATATAGTCCATGGTCTTTTTCTCCTTTGATGACTAAACCTGACATAGCAAGTATGCTACTAAAGCAACTGCAAGTGATTCATAGGGTATCATGTGCATTGAGTACCTGTGCTACACTTCATAGACCAAGAATAAAATATTTATTTCAACTAAAATTGGATAAGACAACCGGATACTGGAAATGGATAATACATTTATTTGCCAAAAATAATTAAAAAAAAAATACAATTTATTCATTTATTCATTTTCGTTTCTTTGGATCATACTTTTTGGAGCATGTACAAGAACATTAATGACAGTGAAATATTAAACCAACCACACGAATTGTCTTTTTCATGGTTGAAAAAACCTGTATGTCAGCAATTCAAATAAGACTCCAGAATTGCCTTGCTCTGTGGGAGGGATGTGTTAGAATAGAAATGAAGAATAAAATAGTTACACAGCTATAAGGATTTACTCATGCATTGGATGGGTTTTTGATGGTTAAGCATGCAATTGCTACTGTCCTGTGATTATAACCATTATGGAATTATCTTGTTTATTACTTTTTGGATAGGACGGTTTTGTGGTGTTCAACCAACTGCTCATGCCCACCCATTATGATCTAATACAAAAGCCTTGCATAGCTACTGCGGGTTTTAGGGCATGTTACGATAACAAGGATGTGCTGTGGTGACTCAAATGCAGGGTTGGATTTACTTATCTGGAGGTCCGGGCTTATGTCAGAATGGAAACTCAGGTGTTCCTGGTTTAACCATTTCTCCTGAGGCAGGGCAGGGTCCCGATGTTTGCTGGGGTCCTAAGCAATAGCCTAGGGCAGCCTATTCTCAAATGGCATGAAGGATGATCAAGTGTCCATTCTGTCTCCGGTTAGAGAGATTACAGAAATTTTAAGATCGGTCAAGCACTAAAACAAATACATTATGTCCGATCTCTAATCGCTGGGCACCAATAAACTAACTGTATTGTTTTTTCCCCCGTTTTTTATAATCATTGTTCTTAAATAAACATACGTAAGGATCACTACAAAATATTGAGATCAACATATATATGTTCTTATATCCATTTGTGCATTTTTATGTTCATGTGTTCATGTTTTGATAACAGTTTAAAAATTTATTAGAAAGTATTTAATTGTGTTTGCTTTTAGAGCACGCTGGATAACGTTATCATATTAACACCTGAAGATCTGTCATCTGTGTCATTTGATTAATTAGCAGACGTTTTGGTGTCACTGAAAGCTTGCTTATTCGTAATCAGGAAGTATTTGCCCTTTTTAATTACTCTAGCAGATGTCTTTAGTTTGCTAAACAGTAGCTTTGAAAACACAAACTACAATACAGGATTCATTTCACAAGTCTTAAGTTTCTCTGTAAATATCCCCCGCAAAGAAGCTTAGCCATACTGCAAGCTACGGGCGTGCAAAGGTTGCTGAAATGTTGTCCTTTTAGTTAAATTCTAAGTTCGGTTTATGATTAAAATGATCTATACTCTTCTGCTTGATTTGTAATCTTTGTATTATTAAGTATCATTTTGGATGAAGCACATTGTCAGACTAACAGAAGATAGATATAAAAATGTAATAAGAAGTAACATTACCAAAGGAGCAAATTAAAGTATTAGCACCTAATTAAATGTAGAATATAATCACCCAGTTTTCTTAGAATCTGAGAAAAGGAGAAAATGTATCCCCTTGATGAGCGCAAATCTAGCAAATGCAAGTCATCTATATAAAACATATTGTCTGATGCTGGGGACAGGAATTGGTGAACTCTTGAAATATTCATTGTGTTAATATTCATTATATTATATAAAAATAGGACAAACCAAAATGAAAATATACACTTCCAATATGTTTGAAGGTACGGTATAGGGTGAGATTGGTGGTATTCTCTGCATTGGATCAGGGATATTAAGTCCTAGGGGGGACACTCTCATGTATTTTAATACAAATAGTCACAACAAATTACCACTGTTATCTATACTCTGAGTTTGCTACTGGTGCAATGAGAATAATTTATGGATTTCCCTTCTTTTAGAGGTCTCCTCAGTATTAGCAGGGCCTGTGTTTGGCCAAAGTTGTCTGATACGGCGTGTGTCTCTGTGGTGGACCTCTTTGCACCTAACTTTTACATTAGATTCTCTTAATTATACTCTGGAGTTAGATTGTTAAGAATGACAAGTTTTAAGGAAAGAACCACCACATCTCTGTAAGCAATAACTCCCATACTAACAGAGCTTTTATGTTGTACATTTCAATGAAGCATACCTTAAAATGACTGATTTTAGTATTAATTGAAGTACATTGTGTTTATTGTTATTATTATTATTATTGTTGTTGTTGTTGATGTTGTTTTTGTTGTTGTTGTTATTATTATTATTATTATAAATAACCCCCGGCTGAATTTTTGGCTGTAAACTGAAACTAACCAGTTATAACCTAGACCTCATTCAATAGAGTGTAAGGGAAGAAAAATAATCAAGAACAAATGAGCTCATGCTGCACAGGATTTTTCAAACTAACCTTTCCCATGTAGTGCAGTAATTAAGCATCCTCTGCTTCCTGCTCACATCAACGGTGTAGTGAACTGTAGCACACCGCACTGTTCCCAATATCAGAACACTCTGTGAGAGTGAGAGTGCGGTGTGGGGAGGATGCGGGGGGGTTGGGGGGTTGGTAGGGGGCTGTCATTCAGCTCAGCAAGGGGCTTCATTCTTCCCGTTCCTCTTTCTCAGCCTTCTCTATATTTTGCTGTGCTGTTATTTCTCTTCGACAATAACTCCAGAGCTGACCCCCATTACCTGAGATCATAATGTCTTTGCAGTGAGGCTCTCTAATATGAAGTATTATTTTTATTTATATATATTTTTTGGAGTTCCAGAAAAATTGAAGTTTACATTCATTTAATAATAAAGATCCATTTTTCCATCTCACCTACTGTACCTACTTTTATGGATATCTGTTCACCAAGCTATACAGGCTTTCCGCTTACACTTCTGCTTAAACTTTTATTCTGCTTATACGATTATATAATTCAGCTTCACCATATCACCAAGCTATACAGGCATTCCGGTTACACTTCTGCTTAAACTTTTATTCTGCTAATATTTTATATAGTTCAGCTGCTCCTTATCACTAGTCAATGCTGGAATGGTTTTTATTATATCTTGCAAAGAAAATCTTGCCATATTCAGCAATGCCACCCCTAGACACTAAACAGTATTATACAGAACAGAAGTGGCACCTGGTCAGCACTGGTTTTTTCAATGGTCATTTTCTATTTTCAGTCATATGAAGTCAATATCTTTTGGCTGAGAATATGTTGTTTTTTTCCACATTCAGGACTTGCAGAATGTATGTGTGGTTGTACATAATTATCTGAGAAAACAAAATTTAGAACAAATTATAGTGAACATAAGCATAAGCAGGCATTCTGTATCCCATACTTTTAAATGGTGTAACGTAGAACTACAAACAAAATTCAAAGCATGCTGCACATTTCCAAACAATAGAGTAGCTCCTCTCAAGAAAATATTCAACATATCCAGCATGCAGGTTCCTGGCCAAATTACTCAC